TCTTGCACATACTTTTCACCCATATACTTTTCCTCCAGAGACTCTTCACCCAGAAACTCTTCTTGCACATACTTTTCACCCATATACTTTTCACCCAGAGACTCTTCACCCAGAAACTTTCTTGCACATACATATACTTTTCACCCCGAGACTCTTCACCCAGGAACTCTTCTTACACATAATTTTCACCCACATACTTTTCACCCAGAGACTCTCCAGCCAGAAACCCTTCTTGCACATACTTGTCATCCATATACTTTTCACCCAGAAACTCTTCTTGCACATACTTTTCAACCATATACTTTTCACCCAGAGACTCTTCACCCAGAGACTCTTCACCCAGAAACTCTTCTTGCATAGATTTTTCACCCAGAAACTCTTCACCCAGAAACTCTTCTTGCACATACTTTTCACCCATAAACTTTTAACCCCGAGACTCTTCACCCAGATACTCTTCTTGCACATGCTTTTCACCCATATATTTTTCACCCAGAGACTCTTCACCCAGAAACCCTTCTTGCACATACTTTTCACCCATATACTTTCCACCCAGAGACTCTTCTTGCACATACTTTTCACCCATATACTTTTCATCCAGGGCCTCTTCACCCAGAAACTCTTCTTGCACACGCTTCACCCAGAAACTCTCCTTGCACATACTTTTCACCCATATACTTTTCATCCAGAGACTCTTCACCCAGAAACTCTTCTTGCACAGATTTTTCACCCATATACTTTTCACCCCGAGACTCTTCACCCAGAAACTCTTCTTGCACATACTTTTCACCCATATACTTTTCACCCAGAGACTTTTCACCCAGAGACTCTTCACCCAGAAACCCTTCTTGCACATACTTTTCACCCACAGACTCTTCACCCAGAAACTCTTCTTGCACATACTTTTCACCCACATACTTTTCACCCAGAGACTCTTCACCCAGAACCTCTTCTTGCACATACTTTTCACGGCCATCTACTTTGTCCATATCCCCCAGGGAAACTCTCACCCAGAAACTCTTCTCAAAAGCACATACTTTTCACCTCAATATACTTTTTCAACCCCAGATACTCTTCCACCCAGAAAACCTTCTTGTTGGCACACCCACACTTTGCTCAAACCCAGAGACTCTTCACCCAGAAACTCTTCTTGCACATACTTTTCACCCATATACTTTTCACCCAGAGACTCTTCACCCAGAAACTCTTCTTGCAAATACTTTTCACCCACATATACTTTTCACCCAGAGACTCTTCACCCAGAAACTCTTCTCGCACATACTTTTCACCCATATACTTTCCACCCAGAGACTCTTCACCCAGAAACCCTTCTTGCATATACTTTTCACCCAGAGACTCTTTACCCAGAAGCTCTTCTTGCACATACTTTTCACCCATATTCTTTTCACCCACAGACTCTTCACCCAGAAACTCTTCTTGCACATATTTTTCACCCATATACTTTTCACCCAGGGACTCTTCACCCAGAAGCTCTTCGTGCACTTACTTTTCACTCATATACTTTCCACCCAGAGACTCTTCACCCAGAAACTTTTCTTGCACAGACTTTTCACCCAGAAACTCTTCACCCAGAAACTCTTCACCCAGAAACTCTTCTTGCACATACTGTTCACCCATGTACCTTTCACCCAGACTCTTCACCCAGAAACTCTTCTTGCACATACTTTTACCCAGAAACTCTTCTTGCACATATTTTTCATCCGTATACTTTTTACCCAGAGACTCTTCACCCAGAAACTCTTCTTGCACATACTTTTCACCCATATACTTTTCACCCAGAAACTCTTCACCCAGAAACTCTTCTTGCACATACTTTTCGCACATATACTTTTTACCCAGAAGTCGTCACCCAGAAACTCTTCTTGCACATGCTTTTCGCCCATATACTTTTCACCCAGAGACTCTTCACCCAGAAACTTTTCTTCCACATACTTTTCACCCATATACTTTTCACCCAGAGACTCTTCACCCAGAAACTCTTCTTGCACATACTTTTCACCCATATACTTTTCACCCAGAGACTCTTCTTGCACCTACTTTTCACCCATATACTTTTCACCCAGAGACTCTTCACCCAGAAACTCTTCTTGCACATACTTTTCACCCATATACTTTTCACCCAGAGACTCTTCACCCAGAAACTCTTCTTGCACATACTTTTCACCCATATACTTTTCACCCAGAGACTCTTCACCCAAAAACTCTTATTACACATACTTTTCACCCACATACTTTTCACCCAGAGACTCTTCACCCAGAAACTTTCTTGCACATACTTTTCACCCATATACTTTTCACCCAGAGACTCTTCACCCAAAAACTCTTCTTGCACATACTTTTCACCCATATACTTTTCACCCACAGACTCTTCACCCAGAAACTCTTCTTGCACATACTTTTCACCCATATACTTTTCACCTAAAGACTCTTCACCCAGAAACTCTTCTTGCACATATAATGGTCCCACATCGGAGCCTTAATTTTTCCATTGTGTTTCCATCCCATCAATTTCCGTCATTTTACTCTTATTTTACTTGGCATCATTTTGGTCCCACATCAGAGCCGCAATTTTTCCAATATGTTTTCCATTGTTTTTCTCCACTTCTTCATCATAGTCCCTCGATTTTTCCATTGCTTTTCCATCGCTAATGGTCTCACATCGAAGCCACATTTTTTTCATTTTTTTCCATTGCTTTTCCATAGTTTTACTCGACATCATTTTCCCCTCCATTCCAGTCTCCCCGTGTTTTTTTCACAGTTTTTCCTTCAGTTTTACTCAATCGTCCCATAGTTTACGCTAGGCTATCAATTTATCCTTCCATTTCATCAATGTTTCCAGTGTTTTGCCATGGTGTTACTCGATTTCTCCATCATTACCCTTCTATTATCTCAGTGTGTCTAACGCTTACACAAATGCACCTCCCACAATCCCTACCGTTGCACCGTATAAAGGGTTTTGCTCGTTTCTTCCATGGTTTTATTTCCGTGCTTCTACTCCATAGTGGTCACACATCGAAACCGCATTTTTTCCATTGCTTTTCCATTGTTTCACGCGTGCTTTACGCGATAATGGTCCCACATCGGAGCCTCAATTTTTCCATTGTTTTTCCACTCCATCAATTTCCATCCTTTTACTTTTATTTTACTTGGAATCATTTTCCAAGCGTTCTACTCAAATTTTCCATTCTTTTCCCATTGTTTTATATGCTATCAATCTATTCTTCCATTTCATCAATTTTCCAGTGTTTTGCCATGGTGTTACTCGATTTCTCCATCATTACCCTTATGTTACCCCAGTGTGTCTAACGCTTACCCAAGTGCACCTTCCACAATCCCTACAGTTGCACCGTATAAACGGTTTTGCTCGTTTCTTCCATGGTTTTCTTTCCGTGCTTCTACTCCATAGTGGTCACACATCAAAACTGCAATTTTTCCATTGCTTTTCCATTGTTTCACGCGTGCTTTACGCGATAATGGTCCCACATCGGAGCCTCAATTTTACTTGGCATCATTTTACCCTCTCCCTATTCTTTCCACCGTTTCTCCTCGCGTTTTAATCAATTTTCCAAGCGTTCTACTCAAATGTTCCATTGCTTTCCCATTTTTTCCCCATTGTTTTACGTCATATTCCCTCATTTTTTCTGGGTCCCACATCGGAGCCTCAATTTTACTTGGCATCATTTTACCCTCTCCCTATTCTTTCCACCGTTTTTCCTCGCGTTTTTGTGCGATCAATTTATCCTTCCATTTCATCAATTTTTCCAGTGTTTTGCCATGGTGTTACTCGATTTCTCCAGTGTGTCTAACGCTTGCTCAAATGCACCTTCCACAATCACTACAGTTGCACCGTATAAACGGTTTTGCTCGTTTCTTCCATGGTTTTTTTCTGTGCTTCTACTCCATAGTGGTCACACATCGAAACTGCAATTTTTCCATTGCTTTTCCATTGTTTCACGCGTGCTTTACGCGATAATGGTCCCACATCGGAGCCTCAATTTTACTTGGCACATCAAAACTGCAACTTTTCCATTGCTTTTCCATTGTTTCACGCGTGCTTTACGCGATAATGGTCCCACATCGGAGCCTCAATTTTACTTGGCATCATTTTACCCTCTCCCTATTCTTTCCACCGTTCTTCCTCGCGTTTTTGTGCGATCAATTTATCCTTCCATTTCATCAATTTTTCCAGTGTTTTGCCATGGTGTTACTCGATTTCTCCAGTGTGTCTAACGCTTGCCCAAATGCACCTTCCACAATCCCTACAGTTGCACCGTATAAACGGTTTTGCTCGTTTCCTCCATGGTTTTTTTTTCTGTGCTTCTACTCCATAGTGGTCACACATCGAAACTGCAATTTTTCCATTGCTTTTCCATTGTTTCACGCGTGCTTTACGCGATAATGGTCCCACATCGGAGCCATTTTACCATCTCCCTATTCTTTCCACCGTTTCTCCTCGCGTTTTAATCAATTTTCCAAGCGTTCTACTCAAATTTTCCATTGCTTTCCCATTTTTTTCCATTGTTTTATGTCAAAGTCCCTCCTTTTTCTCCATTGTTTTTCTCATCATTTTCCCCTCCTTTCCCATTTTTTTCCCATTGTTTTATGTCATATTCCCTCATTTTTTCTATTATTTGTCTCATCATTTTCCCCTCCATTGCAATCTGCCCAGATCCACCTCGGAGGGCGGACCAGGGGGGAATCGATACCCCAACGTCACCCAATTGCCACCTGGTACATAACCCTAAAAAAGTTTACCTGCGTCCACCTTTTTTACCACCTATTTTCCTCATTTTTATCCGATTTCGGGCGCTCTGCCCCCAGACCCCCTTAACTCACTTTGTTCGCATATAGAACTTCGCCTAGCCTAGCGGCTGGCTTTCGTGAAAACACGGATGCTTAGATGTTCCATGGTGAAGAAGTAAAGAATGGAAACCAGGTTTCACCTCCTGAAAGTCAACTTGGTGTTGGGACACTCCGACTTTTCAAAAACACTTGTCACTGGTCACGATATACGATATTTGCCGAATCAAAGATGAGTCAAAGTTCAGCAACGCCAAGGCAGCTGGTCGCCAGGCCTCCTGTTTCTTTGCTCCTTTGAGTCCTTCGAAGATCCAAGGCTGGTGAGTCCAAGCTCTGGTCAACCCCTCAACGTGATGTCTAGTTTCTTGTTTCGACAGGTTGCAATATGTTTGCAAATCACCTGTGGACCAATTCACGCCGTTGCAGTGTCCTCGAGTAAGATACTTCATATCTTCATTGAGCCCGTAGATTCGCCTCAGGGCATGCCATAATCCGACCAGAAACTTCAGAATGATTTGGAATGGATATTGATGGATATTGATGGATATTTGGAAATATTTGGAATGGATATTGAATGTTTGTCTTATTGGGACCGCCGGCCTGAGAAAACCAATGGCGTCATCCCACTCCTGCGTCATGAAAGCAACGAAATCTCATGGAATTTTCTCCTGGCGAGAAACCTTCGTTCGAAGTTTGCGTCTGCTAAACCCTCGGATCTTGCATGAGCGTTTCAGCGTCCTTGTCTTTGTCTTCAGATGTCAGTTTCTCAGGCAATTTGTTCCAAGCCTCGTAATAACGTCAAAATCGTCAAAAAATGACAAAAAAATAACTGAACAACATCCTTGACCACACAGTGGGGCTGAGAGTTGTTGCAAAATGTTGCAAGCCTCAAGACCTTTCCGGATTCGATCTTCTTGTTTGGCACCCGGAGGAAGCATGTCACCTGTCGTCGTCAAATGTCATGGATTCAGTGCACAAATTCTGACCACGCCTTCTCCAACATCAGCGCGCGCTTGGGGTGCTGCAAAGAGCAAAGCTAAAGCAGCTGCCACGACATCACGACCTCAAGCGACTGGACAGACTCGACAGTTTCAACAGACTCAACAAATATGACAGAGCCCGATGCAAACGAACCCGTTTCTATTAATTGTTGACGATCCTTGTTGATTCATGTGGATGTTTGTTCATCTTCCAGTTTCACGTTTTCGCCTTTGTTGGATACTTAAAAGTGGATACAATTCGTCTGAGCACACGGCGGGCAGGTATTTTTGCCTCAAAAAAAAAACAAAACCATACGCTTACAAGCACCATATTTAAGTCACGTCAGGCGGGGAAAAGTCACAACATGTCACAACATCCCCATGTCACAGCTGCGATACAGAAAAGTCACATCAGGTAGTGGAAAGTCACACATCAGGGAAGAAGAAACACCATGGCACAGCCTGTTTCATCTGCAATATGAGATTTAGCTAAAAGTAACCGAAGCATTGCGCACAGCGATGATTTTGAAAGGCACAAATCAATACAAACAAAGTTGTCGCAGCAAATCCTATTGGCATGGATATACAATGTTGGTGTCCTGCGTCGCGTGACCAAATCAAACCCCTATTGGCGCAGCCTCAAATTTCTTGCAATGCAAACGGGTGAGGTTGTACCAAATCCTATTGCCAGGGTTATGATATAAGGATATAGGGGCACCTTGTTTCCTGCAACCAAATCTATGGTTGGCGCAATGTGTATCAAGCTCGTGGACTCTCAAGAAAATGGTTATCCTGTCCACCCAGCGATTACGAATTGGAGTAAAACCTTTCATTCCAACCAGCCAGAAAAATACACGTTCACAGCTTTGCACTTGGGCCAAAGGCAGCTCAGTCCACTCTACTTCTGGAAGAGTTGTATCGATCTACCTACCTATCTACCTATCTACCTATCTTCCTATCTACCTATCTATCTACCTATCTACCTGTCTATCATTATCATTCATTATCTATCTGTCTGTCTATCTATCCATCCATCCATCCATCTATCTATCTTTCTTTCTTTCAGTACATTTGTTTGTTGGCGCGTTTGTTCGTTCATCTGTCTGCTTGTCTGTTTTTTTGATTGGTTGGTTGGCTGGTTGGTTGGTTGATCGGTTGGTTGGTCGTTTGGTTTGTCGGTTAGTTGGTCGGTGGGTCGGTTGGTTGGTCTGTTGGTCTGTTGGCTGGTTGCTTGGTCGGTCGGCTGGCTGCGTCGTATGTTCGTATGTTCGTTCATTCGTTCGTTCGTTCGTTCGTTGGTTTGTGGTCTGCCAAAGGAAGTTTAGTCAGAAAACTTCTAAGTCGCGGACGAATGTCATGGCTGGAATTTCCACCATCATGTCAGCCACATCATCATGTCAACTGCATCATCAGGTCAACCACCCATCATCAAGTAGTTGGGAAGCGTAAAAGCTCGAAATTTGGAAGCGTGTGAATTCAAGGTGAAAACACTCCCGGGCACGAAACCATGTGCTTTTTGAGGTAACGTGGCTCCTGGGGTCGCCGAAGTAAAGTTTCTGAAGCGCACAGGACTGTAGCGAGAGCTCGATTTGCACTTCAAAATCGTTTAAAAAAAAACCTAAAAAGTCAACCATACTCAACCCCCGCACCCACAGAACATCCTATTTGAATCTATTTGATACCAAGGGCAAAAATCCGCGTAAATACCGTCGTTTTTGGCTTCCGAGGCTCTAGAAACATCAGTATTTACGGTGATTCTCTTCCGAAGGCCTGCAACAATTGAAAAAACAACACCACTTTGACAGTCTATGATGTTTTTCGGGACAGCTTTTTGTGCGCAAAAACGCTTTTTTACAATGGTTAAAAGGCAGTGGTATGTTTGAGATACTGCAACAACATGCAACAACATGCTTTAAAAACCAGGCACCCAACAACAGCAATGAGACGACAACAAGAGCAGCAACAGTGCAGCAACAACAACAGCAAGAACAGCTCTTGTGGGGAAGCTTTACAATATATCTTGGGTTTGTGTGCGGTTGTTGGGGACGCACACTAAAAGAAAAAGAGCCCCTTGAAACAAGATAGTTCCAGATGCACCTGTTTCTTTGGAAAGGTGGGCGGCAAATCCGCTCAAAAATTCTGCCTACACTGCATGTCAAAACCGTCAAAAGCCAGGATACGCTTAGCTCCTCCAGCTGAGCTGATATGGTTACCTGCATGATTGACTTCCAAATGACTTCCGTACATTTCTGCGCTGCATTCATGCTATGCAACATATCACATGTCAGATCAAATAGGCTACTAGTAGCGAGCCAGCCTTTTGTTGTGCCAGTTCATCTCGTTTTTGCAAGATCTTCTCCTGGATTGCAGCATCAAACTTGCAGCCACAGGAAGGCAAAACAAGCAGCTCCAAAAACCGCCCCCTCGTCCTTCGCTGTCGGATTGGCACGCTCCTACCAATGCTGGAATAAGATGGTACTCTGTGACATCTTTTGGTGGCGATTCGGTCTTCTAAGTTTTCTTCAGCATCAGAGTCTCTCCCAAATGCATCGAAGGTAAGAAACACAAAGCGAATAACATGCAGCAGGGGCACCATGAACTGTGGTGTGATCTTCTTCTCTGTGCTTTCAAGCAAAGCGGACACCTCCACAAAAGCAGCGTGCCAACTCTCATCATCAACACATATCAACACTACGAAAACCCGCCTGGTTCAGTTGCTTCTCAAGGCGTTGGAGCTCCTTGCCCACGTCAATCTCCTTCTCGGGCACTGGCATGTCAACCTGGTCAAAGATGAATTTGTCACCAAGAATCCAGCATGTATGTAAGTGATTGTAACTGTATGTATGCGTTTGTTTCAAGACCTGGGAGTACCTAAGCATTGAATAAAACATCTCATAAAACCATAAGAAATTATCACCTATCCCAGTTCGCAACATGTGGCTGCTAATGAAGAAAAGTCTCAACCTGCAGTAAGTGCAAAAAGGTTGTTCTTCAGTGTCTGATCGGAGTTCATCGTCAGCGCACCTCAATCTCGTCCGAGATCACCACGCGAATGCATCCGGAAGGCCTTGGAAAAGTATTGAGTCATTGAGAAATGTGAAAGTGTTTCGAGTTGTTTCCACAGTCTTTCCCATTGCAAAGCTCATTGGCTCACAGGACTGTAATTTGTAATACATTGCCTACGTTCTGGACCCTGGTTTGTTGAATGCCAAACGATGCTGAAACTGGCTGAGTCCAAGGACCAAAACCGACAAGCAGATCGTTTTGAAGTTTCACGAAATTTCACGAAGCTATGTATGATCTGTTGTGTATATATATATATTATATAATACATAATATATATATATATATTATATGTGGAATAGAATCTCGGAATCTAGTGCTTGGGGATCGCCAGACGGATGGGATATGATGGCAAATTGTCTTACCGTCCAAAGCTGAGTATCCAAACGTCTCGTTGGGGCGCTCGGACATGGCCTTCGCCTGTTGTGTAAACAATGCCCAACAGCTAAAGCTGCAGCAAGTACCAGCTGGATTCAAAATTTGTGTTGCCAAGGACTGTAGCATGAAGTGGCACTGCTGAAGATTTCGTTTGTCTTGCAGATTGAAGTCATCGGAAGGGATATCCTTTGATCTTCACAAAATGTATCAAATGCCAAGCTTTTTCCAAGCTGAAACCTCGATCTTCTCAGGATCTGCGCGAGCGAGCCAAGCCAATGCAGAGCCTCACAGTGCAGCTTCACCCCACCGATGCGCAGCGCCATGCAGCGCCGCTGTCGAACCGAGATCTCGACTTTCGGCTCTCAAAGCATCCTGGACCCACAACAACCCGCAACGAGCAATACAACATATAACAGTATATTATATTGATAACATATTATGTATAAATATAATATTATATATTATACTTATATAATATATATATATATCTTATTTATTTATATATAATCTATTTATTGATATTACAGCCATTGATGATCTGCAAGCTGCACCCGCCGAAAGTACCATGCAACCACCATGCTGTGCAGCTGTGCAGCTGTGCAGCTCAGGTCCTGGAAGTTGCTTTCTGCACACCAAAACGTCAGAGGCACACGCTCCTGGCGCCCGATCTCCAAGCGACAGCTTCAGCTGAAGATAGTCTAAATATGTCTCAATCATGACAGATCTGATAGGTCAATGATAATGATTTTCAGTTTGTCTCAACTCAATTAGATTCAATATAGTATATACCAGTAGCATAGAATATATTAGTATATTGATGTATATTGTCATTCATGGTGATAACATGTGATAACAAGGGCAGTTATGGCGTCATGCCCACCTTCGGAGGAATGCCTTGTTCTGCACGTGCATTGCGCACAGCAGATGTCACTGCGCAGAACTTTTCAAACCAACCTGCAATGCTGCAATGAAAATGTCAAGAATTGTCAAGAAGTTCATGCCGAGACTCTTTGTGAATGAAATTGGGTGGCACAAGGCTCGGCACAAGGCATCCGAGTCTGCCTTCTGCTTCTGCATCGTGGGCAGCCGACATCTTGGGCCTTGAGTCACAACTGCGACTCAGAACCCTTGCTCCTCCCGCGTTCACCCCGACACGTTCTGGGGTGGGACATATTCATCCATTTAATCCATTTTCAATGATGTGAATTGGTCACCCATGGATTGCCATCTAAGCCACCGACCATGGACTGATCATCAATGAGTCAGGCGACCTGAAAAGCTCAATGATCTCAATGCGTGATGATGGCAGAAGTTTCAGATCTCGTTGTGAAAATTGTCAAAGGAGCCCGCGAGGCACTGCGAGGCAAGCGCTGCCAGACGGCCTCAAGAGGCGTCAAACATCTTCAAACATTCTTTGACCTATATTTTTTTCATGTGTTTTCATATGTTTTCATTGTTCAAGCGAACGTCCATTGGCAGAAAAGTATAGAAAAGTCACTGCGCCATACTGCGCCCACCTCTGTGACGAAAGGCATGAAAGGATGGAGCAGTTTCAATGACACCTGGAGATGCAACGCATAAAGGTTTCACGCGCGTCACTGCCCCAGTGATCTTAAAAAACCTTTAAATCTCTTTGAACCTAAAATCTTTCATGCATGCATTATACGAGTACAAAGTGCCTCCAACAGGTACAGCAAGACCTTTTGCGAAGTCGCTGCCTGTCAAGGCCACTTCGCCAGACTTCCATTGTTGCCATGGAAAAGTGGGACGCTGCCTCTGCACTGTTGGGATTTCCACCTCAGCAATTCTGAAGATTCTGAAGTGCAAAGCAGATGGTGGACGTGCATAAAACATCATAAAACCTCGGTCCGAAGCCCAAATGCTCCTGCAGCCGTGTTTTGGAAGCTTCAACCTGGCCAACGGTCCGCGTAGAAATGCCACAAAATGTCACTGAACATGGCAGGATGGCATACCAAGCTGCAACATCTTCCTGCAAAAACTCTTTGATGTCCTCGCAGATCGATTCATGAGTTAACTATATTCTGAATGTATTGTAAATGTCACATCGGGAGTCCATCGATGAAAAATCGAAAACTGGGTAAGTGTCCTTTGTTGGTGGCGCAAAGCGATTTTCCAGCAGCGCTGCTGTGACGCTTTCACAGAGCCCCTGGCACCTGCATTTCGTCCAGGTGTTTTTGATGCTTCAAAATCAAGCACAGCTTTCCACTACGACTCAGCCAGCTCAGCTCGGAGCTTTGAGAGCAAGGCACGTTCGAGCCAAGGCCTCAGACACATCACAGTCATCACTTATCGTAGCACGATGACGTATGACATTACATGGATATGACATAGATATGATTAGATATGTATAAAATATAAAACATGCAAGATGTGACATGAAAGTTGCAGCTCCCACATGATCCATTTTTTGCACCGCATGTCTGTTGCTTGTGAAGTTCGTGACCTTCAGGGCTGCTTATTTCTTCCAAAGGTCTTGATGTTTTTGCCTTATTTCTGAATCCGTCGAACCTATGTCAGTCTGTGGAAATCTGTGGAAGCTCAGCACGAGGCATGGCTTTGATCTCCTCCTCCGAGAATGTCATGCCACTCTCGAAGGACTCAGCGCACAAGATATGCCACACGGATCTGATTCAGATTTAGCCGATTTAGCTGTGAAAATTCTCAAAACAAGTTAAAAACATATTTATCATGCAGATGATATATCATGTGGCTGTGCTGAGCACTCGACAATCTGAACGGTGCCAGCTGTCTTCTCATACTCTGTGATGATGAATCGTCCGACGTTCCAGATTTTGTTCGCAAAAGCCTCTCAGCATAGACTGTTAGAGAATGTGACTTGACGATATCAACACTGGCATGTTGATCATGTTGCATGAGAGGTTTGATGAGGTTTGATATCAACACTGTGTTTGCAGCCTTTGCATTCTCAAGCATGCCCTTGCTGATTGGCACATCCATTCCAGGCACCTTGGAGCGCCGCTTTCGAATGTGCTCACCTCTCCCACTTTGTACCGTCTCAGTATTTTCCCCACCCTGAGACCCTGATCAATCTGAACACATGTTGGACATATGTTGACATGAACATACATGAACATACATGAAGCCAATTTCTCCGAGACCCCGCGCACTGCTGGTCAGAAGTGCATATCTCAATGCGTCCGTGCCATAATCTGCGATGGAGTCCAACGGGTCCACGACATTACCTCGCTGCAAGGTGCAGATTGACCATGATTGGCCTCACAAAGCTATATCAGGCATGTGTCAGGCTATATCCATCACACATCCATCATACTCTTGGAATCAACACGACAGACCGCAGCAAGAAAGATCAATTTGCCTAAAAACTGTTGAAACATGTTGAAACTAAGATCTCTGCCCTTGGTTTTGCTCATCTTTTGGCCCTTCTCATCTCTCACCAAACCATGCAAGTAGATCTCCTTGAAGGGAGCCTGCACAGGATCAATTCAGAAACTGTTTTTGAATTGAGATAATTATAGATAATTGAGAATCTGCTTGTATCTGAAGTCCTTCTGTAACATCTTGTGCTGCGCATACTGTATCATACTGTGCCTTGTCAGTCAGGGTCAGCCCCATCATGACCATTCGAGCAACCCAGAAGAAGAGGATGTCCTGGCGTCTCCAAGATCTCCAAGACTGTCAGTGCGCACATCAAGCATCGTCTTGGGCAAAACAGGACTGGACGGCATATCCAGTCTCCATCATAATGGCCTTGGCTATGTGAAAAGCTGAACGAATCTGGACAAATCTGGATAGGAATACATGACTGGACATCAATCTCCACAGTCTCCACAGTCTCCACAACATTCCACACAAAGAGATGAGTTCGGGTCCGTGATCGGCCCCTGGGCCCCTGGGCCCCTGACCGGGTAGTACTTCTTGTAGTCCTTGGCCTCTTCGTTTGGCCATCCCACCGTGGCAAAGGGCCAAAGACCCGACCTGAGTCGACTCAGTCGACTGAGTCGACTGCCGTCAGCTCTCAGCAGCTCTCAGCAGCTCTCAGCTCAGCTCGGCACGAGAACCAGGTGTCCAAAACGTCGTCGTCTTGTTTGAGCTCTACATCCTACAAGATGTCACAAGATGTCACAAGATGTCAGCACTGGAGCGACTAGCGACTGACTCTGCAAAGCTATGAAAGATATTGAAATGTGGCTGTTGCTGTTCCTGATTTTGTTGAAAGATGTCGAAGGTTTTCCTCAAACTTTGCCAAAATATGCCAAAGGCCAGCCTCGCCCAGCTCCTTGCGAGCGGCTTCAAGAGCCTGCAATTACTACGGCGCTTCTTCTCTGCTCAGTCAAGTTGCTGTCAAAACTTACATTTCCCAAGTGAAGTTTCATGAACAAGGGTACCAGTACTTTGACAAGTCACTTGTCGTCAAGCGCGTTCCACGCTTCCATTTTCACCATTTTCGCCTACTCTACGATTCTGCAGCCAGATCAGCCAGATCAGCCAGGCGAAAGCGACTTGCTCTCACCTCTGGCAGCCTCATTGGACTGCCCTCGTGTCCTCACGAATAACTTTTTCTGGAACAGGTTCGCACGGATCGCAGTTCCTTGAAACGTGTGAGGCAGGGCACGACTAGTGCAACAAAACCACCCTGGCAAACATCAAACCACATCCAGTCTTCACATCCAGTCTCCACATGTTAAAAAAATCGAAAAGCAATGGAGCAATTTGTTTGGTCACACAAAGGTTACTTCTAATTCCGATAAAACCGGACTGTCAAACATTGGCTCAAACTTGAAGCGCTTCGTCGGCATAGATGCTCATGTATGTCTTGAAATTTTGAAACCCGAGCAACGATCTTCGATAATCTTCGTCAAGTCTTTTTGCCCTCGCCGATCTTGCAGTCTTTGCAGTCCGATGGCATGGGCAGCTGCACACTGTTGGAGTTCGTTGCCGGGCCTCCGTTCTCAAAATTTGACAAAACATTTGACATGTTTACTGTACAAGTTTCGAAAAAGCACTACGAAGTCCAAATGTGTTTTTCTGGAAATCACACAGTCACAAATTGAATTCAATGAATCCAGTCGACGTGTTCAAACCTGTTGTGCTTTACTGCCAAGGCTCGTTTGCCTTGCTGGGATGAGTTCACTCGCGATTCTAAATCCTGAGGTTTCCAAATGGTCGCAAGATGTCGCTTTGGTCGCAAGGTTGTCTGACCAAAATCATGCTTGGTACATCTTGGTACAGTTTTTGTCAAGTTTGAAAACAAGACTACTCTTCTTACAGGTACTTTTGTCGCAGCGGGTGTCACCATCTTCTGTTTGACAGATCTGAATGAAGATATTAAAGGTTCACTCGAAACATCTCGAAACATGAAAGGTGCTGCTGCTGCTGACCAGGATCGGAGACACTCATCACACCCGAATGTGTGCTTCCGTCTGCAAAGGTCCAGAAAGGGATGGCATCAACTCCAGCCTCCGCACACCTGGATCTTCACCGAAGGGCGCGACACCGCGACAAGTAAAATCACAACAAGGCAATCAAAGCATCACAGAAGAAACACAGAAGAAAGAAAAAGGAAATGAAACCACACAAGGTCAAAAAAAAGCAGGAGAACCAAACGGAGGCACCAAACACTCACCAAACTATAAAATTTGGTTGTGCAAAGAAATTTAAGCGAAACTCATCGAAACTCCTTAAAGTTTACTAGAACATCTACAACATGTTTGAAAACGGTGAAGCCGAATCCATGTGGAGAACTGAACCATGTTACTTCATGTTACTTCATCGAATTCATCACACAGCTGAAAAACAATTTGGAGATATTTGGAGAAGTAATTGAAAAAACAAAAATTGGAGAAGTAATTGGATAATGCGAGTTTGATCCATTCCAATTGGAGCTGGACGCTCAGCTGTCAGTCAGCTCTTTGGTCAAGGTACCTCTGAGGCTGTCCCTGGGAGTTACCTGACAAAGAGTAGCTGCGCGAGCATCTGAAGTTTTGGAAGGCATGATGAATGAAATCATAGTAGATCATAAGTATACTATATGAGTCATATATAGTCATACAGGATGAGTCACATGAAATGTGTTGACGATTGACTATTGATGTCGACGCAGTGTTCCACTGGATTCCTAAGTCCCCAGCGAGCATCGCACTCAACATAGGGAACCTCGGGTCAAGGAACGATGCCAATGATCATGAAAAGAATCAAAGCCTTTATCTTCTATCTTTCCCAAATGGTTTGACACAGATTATTCCACTTGAAGCCAAAGGGAATGGGAGCGAGATCTAGTTGGCCAAGGAGAGATGTGTATTGAAAGAATATGCGGCGCGACCTTTTTAGTTTCAATTTTTGAATTAAGAATTGGGAAAATGGTCGCACCAAATCCGTTCTTCACAGCACAAACAACGCAGTCTTTGAATCTGGTAACTTCCGAGGAAAAAAAGGGAATCTTAAGATGTGAATTGTCAATTCCTCGCCAAGACTGGGTCATGTTTTCATGCAGACTTCATGTAGACGCCTTGAGGTAAAGAAGTGCAAGAATCCAAGTGGCTGTTCTCTCATTGCACTACATTACGTTGCATTACACTGGATTACTGTAAATTGGGTTGCATAAGATTAGATATCAATAGATATCATGAAACAAAAAAGCAGAGAAGCAAAAAAGCAGAAAAGCAGACCAAGAAAAGAATTACAAAATGACCCTAAGGTTTTCCTTACAAAATGGCATGACCTGCAACCTGCACCAAAGCTAAAACCTATGCGACTGGTCCCTAAATTTAAGGTGCAGCCCCAAAATAGCCGTCCCCAACCCAATTTTTTGTTTTGAAATGGTACCCTTTTTGCGCTTTATATGGTGAGAAAGCATGACATGGGACAAGTTGACATGCAAAAATTACAAGAACAAAACTGTATCATTTCAGCATTTTGACCAATCACTTCAAACAGGGCAAGGCAGGGACATGCTGAAGACCAAGCCGTGACGTAGATCAACAGCTAAGCCAAGCTGCGGATCAACGAAAGAATTGAGGACAGCAGGAAAAGTTTGGAGAGGAATGGGTTCTTTAGCACCGCTCAATGTGACTAATTAGGAGATCAAACGGTGCACACAGCTGCAGTTCAAACGAGCAGGCCAGCGACATTTCCTTCTTTACAGGAACGCAGAAAAGGAGATAGGGCACCGAAGCCAATCAGATCCAATCAGAGTTCATAACCATCATAACTTGTTCATATTCTGACACACACGTGTCATGGCCATGCTGCCGAGCGTCGCTCTGCCAGGCTGGAAGGCCGAAGAGTTGTCGTTGAGCATCGCAGGCAGGGCACCAGAAAGTGCCATAAAAGGTGGCACCGCCTGACCACAGATGACATCAAATGACATCAGATTACTCACATCCTGATGACTTCCTGCTTGGAACAAAGTCTGCTTTGTTTCACAGGTCCGTTTCTGCATATAATTACTCTGCATCTCTGTTTGGTTTGAAAAACTATACATACAAATATATTATAATAACTTACAATGATACTTCATGATATCACGATACTTCTGTATTTGTGCTGCAATTCGTCATCTCTATTCTAAAGAAATGAATCGAAATGATAGAATGACGATGAATGAGGAATAACATGGAATAACTCAGTGTGCCTTGTCGAAGTCGCTGGGCCAAGCTCACCGCGGCGGCATCAGATTGAACGAGCACTGGAGGCGCCTCCGTGTTCGGCCTGCAGGTGCAGGTTTCAGCGAAAAAATTGAAACATGTCGAAAGTCGAAACATGTTGAACTAGGTGGAGCTGGACATTGGACAATTTGGACATTGAATGTCCTGAATATCGTATCACTCACATAAAGATACAAATAAGATACATAAAGTACCTAGAATGGATAGAACATGAACTGAGCATGAACTGAACATGAAGTGAACGTCACTCGTTGTGTGGGAAAGGCCCCCGCCTGCCCTTGGCCTCTGCGGCCTCTGCGGCCTCTGCTCTGACCTGCTCTTGCTCCAAACGTTTCAGCATCTCCAGCGGAATGGCTTGTGCAGGAGATGGTCTCAGGAAGATCCTTGGTGTCACTGGGCATCGGGCCATGCTCCGGGCACTGGGCATCCCGTTTTGGCAAAAATCACACTGATAACGACAAGGAGCGCCAATACCAAAGCTCCTACAGCTACTGATAACCTCAAGACCAAAGCCACGGGACAGTGATTCAAGCGCTATGCACATAAGCAATCTGTCTTCCCAGCCATTCTCGCCTGCAAGCCCAAAACTGAATCTACTCGTTTATCTCGTTTCTTGTTGGGCAAACTGACTTCCAGCTCCTGTTGTGGGTAAGAGAAAACGCCGATTTCTCTTAACTCTGAACATAGTTGGTAAATTGCCCCTGCCCCAAAAGCGCTGTGCCTTCAAGTCTTGGCTTCCCCACCCGGCAGCCATGGATCCAAATTCTGGTTTGGATTCCATTTCATCCACATCTGCGAAACCTGCAGGTGGGAAATGCTCGTCTGCGGAGCCCAAGAAAAAAACGCTTCAGTGAAAGGAGTTGTGTACTTCGTTGTAATTCTAATTCTGTATATGTACGTATAGTAAAATTAGTAAAGGCTAAGGGAATAGCGCCAGCAATTGAATGTGTCGATTGAATGTTTTGAACGACAACTAGTTTGGAGTCACCAAGCCAGAAGGGCACTGTGTCACACAACCTGCACAGCATCTGCTGAGACCAGCCTTGATGCTGAACATGATGCGGCCTGGAAAGAGCCGCTGGAAGAGTGTGGGAAAGGGATGTAAAGGGATGTTAGAGAATTGGAAAGAATTTATGAAAAAAAACGCTCTGATTTTCTGTCGCATCTAGCTGTGCCTGGCTTGGAATGGAATCATGAAGAGCCTCTCCATGCCTCGCGGTCGGTGCCGCAACTCACAGGTTGCTTTTCGGACCACGTTCCAGGAAAGTCGATGGAAAATCTTACACAGTTCGGAATGCACCAGAGATATAGCAGAAAGAAATACAATTACTGTACGAAATACAATGATTCCAAGTTCAAAAGATTTCAGAAGTTTGCTAAGACTATAAGACTCTTGCAGGAATATAATCAATATCAAGTGGGGGCCTACTGGCCTACTCATACATTACAACATTGATCAAAACTTCCAACACCATGCTCATTAGTTTCGGGTGTTGCCTGCATACAGCAAAGGCAGGCTGCCCAGCAGCAGCCATCGCACTCGCGTCATTTTGAGGCTGGATAATCTGATTGTCTGATTGTCTGATTGTTGGAGGATATCTCAAACCACCCCAACTTTTATATATTTTATGGCCTCGCAAAGAGCGAGCAATCAAATCACAGAGATTTGCAAATTGCACGTATCCGGAATTTTATGCCGACAGCTTGCCGCCGACATGCTCCTCTGAAGCGACTCTTGTCAATTGAGCAACACTTCTGCGAAAAGCTTGTCACAGCAGGAACAAGATTATCAATCAACGCAATTTTTTGGACATCCACCGCAAGCACATTTGAATACACTGGATATATCTGGATATATCACGTGCATCTTTCGCAAGGCCTCCTCTTCCGAGCGAGCCACAAAGTACTTGTCACTGCCAGGTCGGTTGGTGGGATAAAACCTCAGATAAGGTACGTAGAAAAGAAATGAAAAGAATGCGTATGTGGGGAAACCATGGGAAACCTGCACATCAACAATGGGTAGAATTCTAATCGATTGAATTCCGAATATTCAGAAAAAAGATTAGCAGTGACCAAACTGCCAGATGAACGGAACCTTCAGCAAAATTCCTGGGATGCTGGCACAGGAATACGATGACCCCACCAAAGTTGCCTTCAATTACTCCAATTGACAGCACAGAACACACTCCGAAAATCTCCGAAAAAGATGGAACAAGCGCCTGGAAATACACCATGGCTGCTTCTCCTTCAACCAGTCTTGCCAAGTCCTGACTCATGGCCCATCGGCCTCTGTTTGCCCTCCGGTGCTACAAAACATGTCGGCCCTACTTGACGAAGCGGTCAGGCTGGATGTTGATGTCTCCCGACCTGCGGATTGAGCGGCTTGATGGATAAAAATGATACAACACAATGTATTAGCATATGACGGGTATGATATTGATTCATATTGCATACACTCAAATACTGGATTTTGTGGCATGGATTTCAAGTGCAGATCCGGCGGTCAAATGCTGATGCAACTGCATACGCGAGCTTGGGCCATGCATCTGTGGCCCCAACTGCACTGCATCCATAGCTCTTTGTGCCATCACCTGACCGTCCAGTGGAATTTTGATCATTCTGTTGAACATGTTGTATCCATTCTGCACCATGCAGGTCTTTGAAGACTCCTAAATCACTTCAAACGTCAAGTGCCTCAGTGGACACAAACCACTGGTCTGACAGCATAGGTTCAATGACCTCTCCACTCCTGCAACAAAACTCATCAAAAATCATCAAAAATCATCAAAACTAAAATCAAACATAATTATTTGTTTGGCTGAGTTATACTGAGATCCATGCCTTTGCGAGAGAGGCACACGCTGCATGTGGTCCTTGCGGTTGACATATATATATAATATAATATATAATATATTTCCGGCACATGCCGAACAGCTCGGCGTTTCCACCGGTCCTCGACTTTCAATGTCAGGCCAGCTTCCTCAAGGTCCGCCCAAAGCACTTTGCGACCTCCAACAACTCACACTTATGCCCCACACCAGGAAAAACGTCAGCGTTCCGTCGAGAAATTCCACTTGAGGTCGGAACACTTGGATCGATCAAGGCCGACGTACTGCGGTGAGCCTTCCCAGCAGATCCGTTTCTTTTCCAGCCCACTTGTGGTTCGGGCTTCTCAATCAAAGTTCAATAAAGTTCACAATGTAACATAATGCAACGATAAAAATATGCGACATGCCGACAAAACACATCGCCTAAGGCTTCCAAGCTGATCATGGACCCGTCGAGTCCAATGACCTGCATTGACATTCTGTAACCGGATTTGTCGAAAAAACAAAACAACATTTAAAAAACACTGATATCATCTGATATCACATCTGATATCACATGTCAATACATATCACACGAAATCATTGCAGGTAATCAGGTAATGGTTCATCTTTCTCGAAGTTTTTCCTCAACTCACTGTCTCTGCTTTGGAGTTGTTCAGTAATAAACATTAATAAACTATAATAAACTCAATGCATGGCTCTCTCCTGTGGCTCCCGCACCGTGTGATTTTCAAGGCCGTGTCTTTGACCAATCTCGAAGTCATTGAAATCGTGAGCTGGCGTGATTTTCAACGCCCCAGTGCCAAACCTTGGTTGCTGCACTGCAGGATGCCACGTCGCAGTATACGAAAGTCATCTCCAGAGAGTTCAAGAGCCAGACTCGCGATCAACATAGGCATCGGCAATGACCGGGATGCGTCGGCCTTGTGACATCCGGTCACATCTTGTGACTTGCCCAGGCCAAACAAGGTCCATCAAGGTCCTCACCAAGCCACATCTCCGTCGTGGAAATGGGTGCCGGACCCTGAATGGGCACCAAGACGTCCCGGCCAATGAGGTGCTTGTAGCGATCATCCTGCAATCTTCTCGCCGTTGACAGACTGTTGTGTAGATGCCTATCTTTCAATTCTCAATCCATCTCAATCCCATATTCTGTTACCATTGCTACCTAGCTATACCTAGCTGAATATGTCAGCACATACTTGCGATCGCTACTCTGCAGTCAGACTGTTTCCAGCTTTTTTTTAGTGAGTGTACAAAGAAAAACAAACGCCCCAAGTCCCCAAGTGTTGAGTGTACAAAGTCAGTGTACAAAGTCAGTGTTTCCCAGTTGAAAAAATTGAAAAAGGTGTGGTTGGGAAATGTTGGGAGCCTGGAATTTTCCACATTGTGGTGACATGATTCCCACCATTTCCATCCAGTTCCATCCACTTCCCACCTCTGGATGGACGCAAACAGCTGAATCGCCCAGGATAGTCTCAGGTCTAGTTGTGGCGACGGGGATGAATTCCTGCGACGCAGAACGCTTGGAAGTCTTGGAACCATCCTGTGAAGTGACACCATGTGACACCACGTGACACCTTGGATGGCCTTGGATGGCCTTGGGGAATGAAATTGGATGAGTATAGCCAGATATAGCGAGTATAGCTGCTGGAGGCGATCAATCCAAGGATTCCAAAGTGCATTCTCCTCTGCTTCACCATCTTCACCAGCAACAACATACCTCAAAGCTTCCGTGCATCAAGAATTGTGCATCCTTTTGCGGAAGCCTGAGGGTTTTGCTTGAAGTAGTACAACTGGCCTTGGACATCGGAATATTCCACCTGACCAGGATCAACCAGGATCAACCAGGATCAACCGAGCTGACCAGGATCAACCAGGCTTGAAATTTCAGCTGACCTCCAACCGAGCCGCGGCGCCTCCAAGTCACTCACTGCAGTCTGCAGCACAGGGCTCCAGTTGACCATGCGTTGACCCCGGAAAATGGCGCCTTTCCTCATGACAAACGCTACAATCAGCTACAATCAGCTACAAGATGCTACAAGACGGGTCACAAGTGGACAGCTTGGATAGCTTGTTTCATGTTTCAAATCTTACTGCATCCATTTCCCATCATTTCCCTTTGTTAGGAACACGCCAAGTGCTTGGCCCGCAAGTCAGAACATGTCAGAACATACACTCCAGGCTTTGGGGTTCCGATATGTTCCGATACGTTCTGAGATGGGTCTACTGAGTGGTCCCGGCTCATGCAGCCGGCAAAAGGCTTCGACCACCTTGGGAAGGAAGATTTGAGCTTGAGTTGCCAACAAAACGGGAGAAAACTTACTGAGAGATTAGAACAGCAATGCATGCCTGCACTGTGCTATTTTGATGGCAGTTGAAGTTGAAACTGCAACGTACAACTTGTAGCTGCCAAGACCCCTGCTGCTGCGCTCATGTGTTCGTTCAAGGTAAATTGCCTCAGGATTCCATGCAACGAGGCTGTGGCAGAAATGGAGTGTGATCCTCAACACTGAGTGCCGAGCTCCCTCGACCAATCGGCAGAAGCACCCAAGCGTCGCATTTGATCCACCTGGAAACTGAAGTTGACTGAAGTGGACATCAGAACTTGATGAGTGCACGCAATGGCAATCGATAAAACGTGGATCATTGGATCGGATCTATGCTGTGAATCCCACGATAGCGCCACCCTTTTCATCTTTCCACTCCCACACCTGCCACCAATGACTGCAGTGACAAACAACTCGGAAAAAGGATGAAAAAGGTAAAACATGGCACATAAAGGCAAGTGTTAAGTGTTGCAACAAGGATCTTCTGAGGGCAAAGCCCTTCTCAAGAATTCTTCTCTTCCAACTTCTTGACGCCTGGAGATCTAAGAGGATCTGAGACCAGAGGTGAGACATGGTGAGACCCTGGGATACGAGAACTGCAAGGAGCTCCTACATGCTCCCACTGTATCTGTTTGGAATCTCTGAGGGAAATACGAAGTGCCCTCAGCTGCAAGCTGCCGTTCCTCAGTGCTAATTGTAGAAGTTCCCAAAGGGCAAACACTTGGCTCCCATAATGAAACTGCTCAAAACGATGTGATGTAAATGGCATCAAGATGGACATAGCAAAAAAAAATAGGAAAATGAGTCTCCAGCTACGAGCATCTGCGTCGCAATACCAGCATGATCGGTGCCTACAGCCGTAGTTGACAGAGAAACTGGGCAACTTTGGTCCTTTTCCAGTCTAAAATGTCCAAAGACACCTGGTAGCCAAAGAGTTCGGTCACCACGCATTCGATGAAATCGTGTGAGGACCTCGATTACAGGTCACCTTTTCAGTGGCAAAGAGCAATGGATAGCAATGGTATATAGTCAAATAGGTCTACCAACTTCCTCATCTCATTCCCCGTGACTTGTGTATTGAACAGCCGAGGCTAGAACATCCTCCAAGCTGACAAACATGGCATGACCTCAAAATGTCTTCAGGTTCACTTTCAAACGCATGCTGACCTGAACATATCCGCACATGAACATGAAGGCAAATCGCACACACACTTGAATTTTGGCCCCTGGCCCATGTGAAGCCTGTAAGCTTGGAAGCGCAGTGACTTCAAATCTATTCAAATCTGGTGTTGATTCCTGTCAGTTCATTGATAGCGAGCCTCCCAGTCACATTTGGCGGTGGCATAGGCATCACGTAGGACTCTCTCTCATCAGACTCTGAAGGGACCTTCATTTGCACAAAATGTCCCAACACAGGTCCAAAATGCAAAGTCAACACTTCACCTACTTTGCCTATAGAGAATGATATAGAGAATGTGACTCTGCTATGACTCCCCATTTCAACACCATCTGGAACCTTCTCAGCCACTTCAGGTCGAAAAAAACCTGCATCTTCCCACCAACCTGGGCAAACCGTTTAAGGAGCCACTTCTGGCAACATTTACTTTGAACCAAATGCGTCCAAATGCAAGTTGCTGATATTTGGGGAACTTGGATACACTTCCGCGATTTTTGCAGAGATGCGTTGTCACAAACAGCTGAACCTGCAGCATCATGGGCATTGCGGCATATTGCGGCATAACACTGAAGCACACTGAAGCCGCAACGGTACAAATCTTTCTCCACTTCGGAATAGTCGTATCTACCAGGCATTGACCTCGGGATCTTTTTGACGTATCCAGCAGTCTCATCCTGGCCCTCCAACTGATGAAGCTGACAACTTGATGATCCGTAATGATCCATAGATTTCCATAGTATTCAGAAGTAGAAGCCTTTGGCAGCGCCAAAGGGAAACCCCACCAACCCCCATGGTCTGGGCATGGCCTGGGCATGGCCTGGGCATGGCCTGGGCATCCGACCCACTCACCACTGAAGTGGGGCACTCTGAAGCCTGTCAAAAGACACCCCAAACGAGAAATGTCGACAGAGCGGAATACTCTACGTCAATTTGATCAAGCAAACAAATTGGCTCCAAATCCAAGCTGCTGCAAACATCTTAAAATATCTTAAAATGCCAGCACGCTCTGGCAGTTCCTTTGCGCAGAGCTTGTTTTTCTCACCGTGCTACAAGTAAAGCGAGGCTGCGAAAATAATGCCACGCTTGAGGCGAGATCGACCCTCGTTCAGCTTCCTCAGCTGCGCAAAATCTCAATTTCCAATGTAAGGTCACTTCATTCTGCAGTTTTCTGTGTATAAAGCCTTGAATAAGTTTGAATCTCTTGGAGATTTTGTTTACTTCTGGCTCACATCCCATTGGATCACTGTGCGAAACGCATCAAAGTGAAGCTTTTGCCCAGAATGATTGGCTACCTGGTGCATTCACACTGTTTGGATCCAAAAATCATGACTTGAAATCTCGGAAGAGTTTGCGTGGTATCTTCAGAAACCATCCAATCCGATTCGATCCCCATCCGATCCCCATCCGATTCGATTGGATCATCCAAAGATTTCCAAGTGTCGACGCCAGCTCCTCATTGCCAATGGTCTTGGCAGCGGTCGCCAGCTCCCGGATCAACTCTTCCAATCGGCGGATCACGCGGACCACGCTGCCCTCATAGAGGTTACATTGATTCCTTAGCACATCTGAGCACTTCCATATACTTCTCCAAACTATCCATACTGGGATTGTGACAATTCTGTTTGTCACATGTTTATCACTGATGAAAAATGTGAAAATGCAGTTTTGCCATGTGTTTTGCTACGTTTTACCACAATGTGTCAAGCAACAGAAATTACAGAGTTTGGTTTTGAAAAGGGACTGTGTGCCAACCAGCCATGCTTTCTACCTACTTAAATCCACCACCCCAGCGAGCACACGCAGGGAAAAGATTGCCTAGCTTAGATTCTAGATGGCAACATATGGCAACAACAAGCCATGAAGAGCCCAAGAAATCCCCAACAGCTGAAGACATTGAACCCGATTTTTCTGAATTCCAGGATCTGCATTTCAACCTGTTTGAAAAAATTGCTGAGTATTGGAACTCTGATACCTTGCACCAAGCGGAACCTTGGAATCCCGAAAGGCATTCCTGCCAAAACCGCTGATGAGCCTAATTCCACATTGCAGTCAACTCAGGCAGTGCATGAGAGCACCCTCGAACCTAGAATATATAATTATAATATCTAGACTGTGCTGGCTCAGACCCGAAGCATACCTGAACCCATCTGAACCCCAAGAACACATCATTGACCACGCTGTTGTTACAAATGTTCATGGTTTGGATATGTTTGGATGGTGTTTGAATCAACATCTTGGCGAGTTCCACGGGCTTCGCGAACAACGAAGGCTTTGTTCTTGCTGCCATGTTGCTGCTTTGGGACTTGGGACTGGCAGTTTACAAGTTCGGAACCATGATTTATAGTTGATTTATAGAGTGTTTGCCGTTTCCGCCCAGCTATGCCAGCTTCCGAGAGTCATGATTTCGTGAAATCGTTTGCCTTCCAACCAATGCAAAACCACATCCATCAGCTGCGGCTTCAGCTTCTGCACATATTCTTCCACGTCAATGGGGATTTTGTTCTCAACCTGAAAAATCTGAAAACAATAAAAGCTCGACAAGACCAAAGCTCCAGCAACATTGAAAATATCAACAAGACTTCCAGCAATTTCCAGCATCTTCAATCATCTTCAGCTGGGGATTGTTGGAAGTGTATGGAAATGTTTGATCTGCTGAGACCCTGGCCATTATCTCCGCAACATTTCTGGCAATGCCCTTGCAGGTCTCAAATGCTTTCATGAGATCCAAGTTGTTGGTGATTGGATCCTCTGACTTCTCATCAAAGACCAGGCAAGAACACAAAGCGATGATGTTGTTGGCATCAATGTCCGCGAAGACGTTCTGAAACACAATCCTCGAAAGAGTCGAAATTCACAAAAAGAACCAAGTCATGACAAGACTGTGACACGTCATGACTATGACTCAGGTCCATGCCTCACTTAGATATCTTAGATTTGCATTTGCACGTGTTTCATTTCTGCATATTTCTGCATATATATATATATATATATTTCTAATTATTTCTATGCCAGATTGCAACAGCAACAGCCATGCCAAGAGTCTCGGTCATGAGGATCTCATCCGCTGAGGTGATCTCGCAGGCCATTCGGCCCTTGAGCTGCACCACGCCATCTTTGTCGATGAATTCCAGCCTTCGCAACACCCGTCGCATTGCTCGAAGGTCGTCACTCATGACCTGCACCAAGCCGCCAGGCCGCCAGGCCACCAGACTTGGAATCTTGAGAAGCAAACTTAGTACGAAAATGTACGAAACGTATATTATCGTATTCTTATCGTATTCTTATCGTATATTGATTCTCAAGAGTTTGGCAAATTGCAGTTTCGGAAACTCTTGTGAACGTCTCGTCTAACATGTTTGCTGTTGACGTGAATCAAACACCTTGAATTGCAAAGGGCAAAGGGCTCGATGCCCAGATATGCCTTCCCAAGATTGGTTGGCATGTTTTTGAATCTTCCATTCACAACAAACATGCTACCTTATCAAAAACATTCAAAACAAACACAGATTGGTGGCCAACGTTGCCAAAGACCAAGCTACCATGAAGCGACTCTGATTGATCTGCTTTTCCAGGTCTTGTACTTGTCTGTGCAAATTCACCTTACAGGTTGGGAGCAACAAGAATGGGGGAAAGCATGGAAAAACAAAAAAAACAACAGCAGGAAGAGCTACTGCTATTTTTCAACTCATCAAAAACAGACTTAAACATGTTCACTCTTGTGACTCTTGTGACTCGTGTGACTTTGGCATGCCAAGGTGCCTTTTTGGAAAAGCAGTCATAGTACAGCTGCATCTTGTCATGGCCATGAAAGCTATTGGTGGACAGCTTCTTCTGCAAGTCTGCGATGGTGGCAACCACGCTGTTCATCTCCTCAGAGGCGAAGCGGAGAAGTCACTGAGAAGTCACTGAGAAGTCCCGAATGCTTCTTGATAACTTTAAACTTTAAATATTTCTTAATGTGTTTGACGTATTCATACGTATTCAACGTGTTTGCACATGCCTATGACCAACCACGTGCTGGCCAAGAAAACCCACCAACAGAGGAAAACCTAGGTGTTTGATGGTGTTTGTCTTTGCATGTTTCCAAGGCGAGAGTGTGTTTCGGAGTCTCATGATGAGTCATGATGAGTCATGATGTCTCATGGAGTCTCCTCTGATTTGATGTTCATCTCTCCAACAGGATCCAGCTCAGGAATGCCCTGCTTGAAACTCTTGTGGTTCTTGATCTGATGCAAAGTCTTGAGCAGCGCCCTCCGAGAATCGTCGCTGTCCAGGTCCTCAGTACTCAACTAATCTCAACTATACTCAACTTTGTCGCATATTTCAATGAGTTAACGTCGCCAATGCGACACTCCGAATATCTCCGAATGACACAGAAATGAAATCTTTGAAGGACATTCTGATACAGTCTGATACACGTTCTTCTTTTGTTTGTCTGGATTTGTTTAATTTGTTAACATCAAAATCTTGAGCCAAGCATCGCCTGTCGGCATGTTGGATCTTATCTTACTGATCTTCTGCACCAATGTCAGTGCCATTGGGAAGATCCGACCTTCAGCTTTGGCATCTGCCGGGGGTCGGTCTTTGTCCTCGGGGTCGCAGGGGAGGAAGACGTCCAAGACCCATTGCGGTTCCGAGTCATCGAGCACCGAGTTGTTCTCAGTGAGCTTTTTCCGTGCAGCGCTGATGAGAATGCCCCAGCCCCAATCGGTGTCACCATCCTTCATGCACCTGACCAGTGATACCAGTGATACCAGTGATACCAGTGATACCAGTGATACCAGTGATACCAGTGATACCAGTGATACCAGTGGCTTCAAAAAAATCACGGTGGCTGTTTTCATCTGTTTTTCTGTTTTCATTTTTCAGTTCCCAACATTTCCCACAACTGAAATGGCGTCTCCCAAGCCCAGGCACACAAGCCGTCCTGGATTGAGGAACGGAGCAATGTGCTCAGGTCGGATGACGATCTCCCGCCTCTCGTCGATCTTTTTGCTCAGCTGTTTGTCGATGTAGTAGTAATCTGCAATGGCTTCATCCACATTGAAAGCGTAGCTGCTGTCATCGTTCACTGCAACACGAAGATCCTCTAAATTTGCAACTTCTGCTTCCAAGTCTTGCTTTTTGCCTTGGATCTCCAAAGCAGACTTATCCTTCTGGAATTGGTGGAAGCTCCTCTGAATCATGTAGTCTGGATCAGCACCTTCCAAGCGAAGGAGATTAATGAGCATGTTGTAGCCCAAGTGAAAGGCACTGTAAATCTTGGAGGATTGACCCATGAACATCTCCTTGGCAACATCTGGTTCCACCTTCTCATCAAACATGATGATTGTGAGTCCCCGGTCATCTTTTCCTCGTCTGCCAGCACGACCGCTCATCTGAATGTATTCTCCTGCATTGAGAATGCGGTATTCAACACCATCCCATTTGCGGGTGTTGGTAAAGACCACTGTCTTTGCAGGCATGTTGATCCCCATGGCAAAGGTCTCAGTGGAGAACAAGACCTTGATGAGAGACTCCTGAAACAAAATTTCCACGACTTCCTTCAGCATTGGGAGCAAACCACCGTGATGAATGCCCAAGCCACGACGCAGCAGTGGCAACATACTCTGCACCTGAGGCAGTTCACGGTCTTCATCGCCCAAAGTCATGATGGCGTTGTTGAAGACTTCATCGATGAGTCGCTTCTCATCGTCATCCGTGACATCCATCTTCTTCAAGGCCACTGCATTGGCCTCACACTCCTTCCGGCTGAAACTGAAAACAATCAAAGGCAAATAGCCTCGGTCACTACACATTCGCACAATCTTCTCCAAGTCGCCCAAGTTGGCTTTGCCCTTTCTTTTCAACATCTTCTTGGTGTCCACGTTGGTAGATTCTGCTGCACTCTGCAAGGCTGTCAAAGCTTTGTGGAAATTGTCTTCCCGAAACTGACCTTTTTCATCTACCACCATGTACACTCCATCCCCACCAGCTGGAAACAAGTAGTGCTGCAGTGGCACAGGGCGCTTGTCTGTATAGATCACATGACAAGGCTGATGTTTGATTCGGCAGATCCATTCTGCAAATTCCCTGGCATTGGGGATGGTCGCAGACAAGAAAACCAAGCGAACAGAGTCTGGGAGAAGAATCATAACCTCCTCCCACACCACTCCACGATCGCGATCTCGCATGTAGTGCACCTCATCAAACACCACCCATGCCATTTCTCGGGAAACATCTGAGCCTCGGTATAACATGGATCGTAAGATCTCGGTGGTCATGATCATGCAGGAGGCATGAGGGTTGATGGTCACATCACCTGTCATCAAGCCCACGTCGTTGAACTCATCTTGCAAATCTCGGTATTTCTGATTGCTAAGAGCTTTGATGGGAGAAGTGTAAATGATTCGCTGCTTGTCCCGCAGGGCCATAGCAATAGCATACTCTGCAACAACAGTCTTGCCAGCAGAAGTGTGCGCTGCTACCATGACCGATTCTCTTCTCTCCAAACAATTCACAGCCTCTTGCTGGAACGCATCCAACTGAAAGGCATATGATTTTGCTGGTGTACCTGGTAATGGTGGCAAAGCCTGGCCCGCCAGTTCTGCAGGACGGACACATTCATGGACACAATTACCACCAGAGACCTTCACGTCATAAGTCTCTAGCACTGTCTCTGTTGTCAAGTCTGCCTCCATCGTTTCATCTCGGGGCTCTGTGCCATTCTCTCGTCTCCTCTTTTCTGCACCATTCTCCTGACTGATGGGCTGACGCTTCGCCATCGCACGCAAAGAATAGCAGAGTGAGAAATGTGTTTTGCGATTTTTACCAATGCCTCCAATCACAATCCTTTCTTAAACAACGTTCAAGACGTGTCAAGTCTCATTTTTCTCAGCGCAAGTTGCAATCTTGCTCATGATTGTGTTGTGAAAAAGGAGCAATCATCAGTGGACTCATTTGTCACAATGCCACAAGTGCAAAGGTCGGGTTAAGGGAGCATTGAGAGCGCTTATCTAAGGCGAAAAAGACTTCTTGTGCAAACTACTTGCGGCCAACAAACAGGTCTGTCACAATCAGCTTGAGAAGCACAGCAGCGTGGATTGCAACCATTAACACAAATGCTCTGAAAATCTCTGAAATGAAATTTTGACTTCAAGAACAGCAGCTTTGTCTTCCCTGCAAGCGATGACAATGAGGCTTGACTCAAGCGTCAAGAAAAGGCTGAGGACTGCTAGACATGTTCTAGGTATACTATCTGCTATGATGGGATGTGATGGCTGCTGTCATTTCCCAAATCTACCAGATATGTCACTTGGACTCTGCGTGCAATCACCATCTGAATCATGCGCCTTCCCTGCTCCATCGCATCGTTGTAGCCGGGTGTGCGCCCCTTGGCATTTCATGTGTTGAGGTTTGTCCACAAGAAGTAGGACATGATCTGACACGGTTAGAGCACCTTAAAACACAGTGGAATGGGTGCAGTACACAGGGTCGCAGGGCCCTTCATGCAAGAGTGCTGCGCCAATTGTGAGATCCAATGCTTTTCAAACCTTCTTGTCACCCACCGGCCTGCATCTTTTCATTGCTGTGATCTGGTTTTGATTTTGTCTGAAAAATGGTTATATATTGTATTATGATATAGTATAATATTATAATATATATATATCTATACGGTGTATATATATAATATGTATATGTATGTATACTGTACAATAATATACAGTATAATTTAGCATGCCACGGATAATATGATGACTATCAAGTTGCGCAGTTTTCTTGGCCTGGTATTCTGGTATACCATATCCCCATGTATACTGCCCTATTTCCGGACCCAATGATTGTAATTAGTTCAGCATGGTTCAGCCATCTTCAATTCGTCTCTGAGCTCCCCTGCGCGCTCGCCGCGGCCAGCGACGCCCAGCACAGAAGCGAGCAGTGAGACCAGCCACTGCCAGCTGCGCCTCGGTCAAATCCGTCGCATGGCTTGGTAGCTGTGCCTTGCCGTATGATTCTGACATGAACCATGCATATGATGCTGGTTTGGTTGCTGTAGCTGTGCCATGTCGGACTCTGGTTCTGGATTTGAGGTCCCAACGACTGGTGTCGCCTGAAACTTGGCTTCAGCTGCTGGCCTAGGCAGATCTTCATGTGATGGTTGCTCTTGAGTCCAAAATACATCCAGAAACTGAAAACAATGGCTGCATTTTATGAGACATAGTGGGACGATGTGACAAAGATTCAAAACATCGAGCTGGCACATCACATCACCACATTTCACTTGGTTCTGAAGCCCCGGCCGCGCTGATCTTGCAGGTGCTTGAGGAACCTTGCAGATATGATCGCGGTGCATGTCAAAGCAAGCCACTAAAGTCAAGGCTTCAAGGACTGATCAAAGAATGGTCAAAACATCATGTGAATTGCCGTGAACATCCGTGAACTGTCGCAAAGATGGGATCTTTCCACAAATACATCCCGACAAGAATGATCTGTACTCGCCACTTGAAATTAGTGAGGATAGTGACCACTTTACTGACTCCTTTGATCTTTGGTCAGATCTCAAACCGATGGAATGTGTAACAAATAATGGTCATCAGTAGCGCTAGTAGCGCTGCTATGAGGCCCTTGCTGCTGTTGCCCGTAAGGGCACCACAAATGCCATGGCATCGATTGCTGGCATGGCTGCAAAGATCAGGATCTTGCGTTTTTACATTGTCAAGACCTGCTACAAAATTATGAAATTGGATCCTGGCTTCACTAAGCCAGAGCATCATGTGTCAACCCACCCTTTTTCATCAGGCCTGTGTGTCGTGGTCGTTGATTTGACCCAACGGCTGGAGCGAAGCAACTCTACGAACATCAGCACGCAAGCCATGCACCATCATGCTACAATTTTGGGAGCATACAACACTTGAGCGACCTGGCCCTGGCTCTGACACAATCACACAAAATGAAGTTTTTCGGGCCAGTTTCAAGTCTTTGAGGTTGACTCAGTCACCTCCATGTCTTCTGGAGGGTGATCTTTGTTCGTTCCTCCTCTTCCCTTGCTTTGGCTTCCTCAAAACATAGCAAGAACGACAAATGCGCTGGAGGAGGTCGAAATAGCGGCAAATAGTGGGAAAGCATGGGAAATCAGATAGCGGGAAATCACTAGGCATCACGAAAACGCTTCTAGAACCCATGAGAATGTAAACGACAATTCATGCACTGCACTCTAACAGACTCTAACTATGGCAAATAAATCTGCAGTTTTTCTGTTTTTCGTGCATCGCTGCGATCCCTCCTGTCAGCAGGCAGCGCAAAGCAGCGGTGTTTACTACACTTGCCTGGAAAAGCTAACATGAGGGATGGCACCAAAGTCCGCAAACCAAAGCTTGCAAAACTTCGACTATCGACTATCTCACAGGAAACCTCCGAATCTTCTTGAACCAAAAAAGTGGCAATGAAAGGTGCAAGATGGTGCAAGTCGACTCGTTAAAGATTTTCTAGGATATTGGCTTTCTCGGGCTTCCAACCTTGGGCTGGAAGTGAAATCTTAGCATATCTTAGCACTCGCTAACATGCTCGTGCCAAGGCCAAAGGAACAAAACAAGGCCATAGATATCATAGATTCGACAAAGCAATTGCCATAATTACAATATAATTACAATATAATATAATATAATTGCCATGCTTACAGCAGACTAAAGCTGCAAAGCGCCATCAGAATTGACCCCTGCAATGCGAATCCCCTGGAGGTGGCTTCACTGGTTACCGTTGTCGGCGAGTCAGCCACGAAGGAAGTCGTGGATTCCATGGACGAGGTGCTGGCAGTGCTGGCATCGGTATCATCGGTGTCTCCAGTGGAGGCAGTCGCCGAAGTCGCTGATGCCGTGGCCGAAGTTGTGGAGGCACTGGCTGTGCTGGCCGAGCTGGCCGAGCTGACCGAGCTCTGTGCTGTGCTTGTCCCGGATCCACCTGCGCTGGTGGTGGTCGTAGAGGTCGTAGAGGTCGTAGTGGTCGTCGTGCTTGCGGTGGTCGTCGTGGTGGTTGTGGTTCCACTCGTTTGGCTGTTCGCAGTGCTGTCCGCTGAGTAGTAGATCTCACTGGAGCTCAATGCTGGAAGTTCCTGAACGTTGGTGCCCATGTTGGAACCAGTTGCATCGAAGCAGGGACAATAGCGATCATATTGCACGTTGCCTGTCTTGGTCGTCAGCGTGGTGCCGCTGCCGCCATCATTGTCACAGTCGGAGTACAAGCTGCGGCACACGGCAACACTGACCAACCCCCCGCTCTGACTGGGACCATGACAGCCCACAGTGAAAGGAGCTTGGTCTTGCACGTGGTAGTGGTACACTGGGGTGGCTGAGTCAGGTGTTGGACCAATATGAGCCCCACACGCATCCAGCAAGGGTAGCCTCTTCAAATCATAGTCTTCCCATTTGCCATAGATGCCATGGGAAGCAACGTCTCCCACCTTCCTGAAGATGGCTTGACTCAAGTGCTCAAGTCCACCATGAGACAAAGTAGAAAAATGCAGCATAAGGCAGCGTCTTCTGTTCTCTATTCTAAGTGTTTTTTGTGTTTGTGGTTCCGAATAGTGTCCAAGAGATAAAAGGGAAAGGAGGAGGATGACAAGTGATATCTCGTGTGCAGTTTCAACCCACGCAAGTGAATGCCAACATTGATGCAAACAATGACTCAAAGTGACTCAAAGAAAATCTGTTAAAACAAGAATGATAAGGAAACAATTCAGCAAGGACAACATGAGACAACCCAGCCAAGTCTCGTTGAGTGACCACCAGATTCAGCGTACAAGCAGCTGAAACCTCTGTGAAAGTGGTAGTCATTCGTGTGACCACCACAGGGGCCAACCACCCCGTAGTAAGTGTTACCTCCACAATGTCCAAGCAGAGAAAATGCGGCAAGGCACAAAAAATATCAAAAAAACAGAAACGAACAAGGGCATCCCTGGAGTATGAAGCATCTTGTAAGCCTCAAAAATAATAGCATAGGCAGCATAGGGTCTTAGTTTCCACAGAACCACTGATGTAAAATAATGGTTTTCCATTGTTTCCACTAAGTCAGCCGAATTCACAATCAACATCAATCAACATCTTAACTTAACATCCATTGCCTATTGGAATGCCAAACAGATCATCCCTGCCTACAATCCGAGGGAATTCGATGTTGCAAAGGTGAGCCACACGCTTCTCAGCGATGCCAATATCGGTTCCACCTTCGGTGTCATAGACGACCTTGGTCCAAAAACCCGTGGCTCTTAAAGCCTTGTACTTGACTGATCTTGACTGGACAAGTGCCACAGAATGGAAGCTGCAACCCAAGATATAAACCTGATTTCTGGCTTCAACATCATTTCAAAAATATATCAAACATTCTCAAACATCCAATTCAAGCGACAGAAGGAGTTGAACAACCCCAAGTTGAGATGATATTGTCCTGCTGCGAGGTAAATCCAGCCTCAAAAGGCCCAAAGATATGCGCTCCACTGCTGATAGTGTCACCAATTGACAGCATCTCGTGATTGTAGGTCTCCATTCCAGCCACACTGGTGCAACCAACGTCGCCCAACAGGGGCGCGGCGCAGGGAGGGCTGCTGCACGATGGATTTGTGCAACCAGCCGTTCCACCCGAAGGCGGAGAAGGGCCAGTGCCACCAGTGCCACCACCTCCACACCCAGCAGGAGGTGGTCCAATGCCGGGACCCCAAGTTACTCCGTGCCCAGAACAATCCTGGCCTGAACAGCCAAGGGCAGCTGCCAACAAAATAACTTTGGCCAACGCCATTGAGTTTAAGCGTTTCACTGATCACTTAGGGAATGAAGTTCAACCAAGCAAAGTGATGTTGCTGACTTTGGCTGTGACTGCAAATCTAGCTGTTGGCATGTCTATGCATGTACCAGTATGTTTTGAAGGCATTTGTCTCGTGAGATCTCTCAGAGTCATGCTGGGTTCAGGCTCCAATCTAAGCCAAAAGGCTACCAGCCAAACATAGCCAAACACCAGATCACCAACTCACCAGCTGACATTGAAACCCGACTCATCGAGTCATTGTCTCTCTTTCAAAGCTTCTCACACATTGAATTGGGAGTGCGAGGCCCCATATATGCCCCGGAAAACAACGTCACGAGCATCAACACGGCAACCATGCAACATCATTGAAAAGAGTGCTACTAGTACAAAATCTCTCTGTTGGATGCACTGCTTTTTCTGGCCTCAAACCGAAAATCAAGGAGTAAAATGTCCAGCTATGTTCAGCAACATTGTGTGAAAAAGTAGGGAGATGTAGGCAATGTAGGGAGCAAAAGGTGAAACTGCAATTTCGTTCTCCAGGTCGAAGCATCCATAGTTCTGCGATGTTCTGCGCAACCTGCCACTGTGAAGTCACTGCCAACGCCTCCATGAGCCGCAAAGACCTCGTTAAGGTGTCCTTGTTTGAGAAACAGCTGCAAGGAACGACGGCAGATCCCTGCAGCAAATGCCCATGTCGTGCATTGGAAATGGCGGACACTTCCCAGGCCATCGATCTGTGGAGCATCAAGTTCAATGTTCAGCCCATCAGAGCCAAAGAGAGGAATCGAGTTCAATCTAAGTTGAACTTAGCTTCTAGCATTCTAGCAGAGTAAGGAGTTGTCGCGACGTCATTGCTGAAGCCAGGCTGGATCACAGAGGTAAATCATGGCTCTCTCAGGAAGCACTTCAGCAAGGCCTCAGGGACCACCGTGTGACCGCAGCTCTTCTCCAACAAGTGAAACTGCAAGAGAAACGGAAAGTGACCGATGTGTTTGACCGATGTGTTTGCCTTTGCAATCCTTTGCATATGAAATGAGTAGCAAAGAAATATTGGGGAGACAGGCTGGGAGATTGCAGGCCATCAACCTTCAATTTCACTCTGCAGGAGCCTGGGATGCGAGATACTGTTGGTGATGGCGGCGGAAGTATGTCTTGCGCAACCTTGCACATCAAATCATTGCTGCATATTACTGCATGCAAGCCGCTTTACACAGCATATAAACCATGATCGCAAGCCTCATGAAAACATGGTGAGATACTGCAAATGGAGGAAAATGCAATGACTTACTTTGCACTTCACACCTTGTCATTGTCACCCGCAAAGGAATAAGCAGCTGCATGAAGATGCATCATGTCCTCACGTACATAGCAAATGATTCCAGTTGTGATTTCAAGGGAAAAAAAAAACGTGTTTTGAAATCATCTGTTGCTGCAATGCTGCAATGTCAGAGCTCCAAGCCTCATTTCCAGGACCGTTGCCGTACAAAGAATCTCCAACGATTGGGCAACCTGACTGTGTCGTGAAGCGGCGTCACATTCCGCAACCGAAGGAACCGTTGAATTCTATATGTTGCAAGGTGTTCGTACCCACAGGTCTGAAGATGCAAACGACACAAAGCCAAGTATATGCAATAATTACAATAATGATAATATATGTATCGTATATACATAGATACTACTACTAATAATAATAATAATAACAACCTAAATGGAAAATAATGACATAGTACTAAATGTAATAAAATGTAACAATAACATGTAATAAGTTTAATAATAGCATGTGATAACAACATGTAGTAATAGTAATAATATACAATATAATTTAGTTTTTTTTAAAGTCTCGTAAAAATATTTTTGTTAGCTAGCGTACGTGTAGTGACGAGTGACATGAACGGGGGTATGAACGTGTGTGTGAACGACATGCGTGCGAGTGAACGTACGTGCGAACGTATGTATGTACGAGTGAGCGTACGTGCGAGCGAACGTGTGAGCGTACGTCCGTGCGTTTGCACGGTCACTCGCCACGCGCGCGCGCACGTACGAAAATAAGGTCGACTTGAGTCGACCTTATTTTTGCACGACCCTGCCTCTTTAGTATTGATTTAGTATTGTAGCGCTTTGCACGTACAGAAATAAGGTCGACTCCAGTCGACCTTATTTTCGTACGTGCGCGCGCACGCGGCCAGTGAACGTGCAAACGCACGCATGTACGCGCACACGTCCGTCCACTTGTACGCACACGTCCGTTCACTCGTTCGCTCACACGTGCACTCGTCCGTTCACTCGTTCGCCTTACGTTCGTCACCACGTCCGTTAGCCACTCGTACCCCCTACGTTCACCGCGTCTCTTGGAGCTTTAAAAGCATTGCTTACGAGGCTTTAAAAAAAGCTAAAATATAATATATTATATATATATTTACAATCATAGCATGTGACAATAACCTACTTCCATACTCGTAATCATATAAAATAAATGTACAACATAATAATATAATAACATACAATTAAAAATTGCACCGGCATAGACCCCAGATAGAAAAGGTTGGAACTGATGGTTCCCAACGTGGGAACCAAAGGTTACCATGTCAAGGAACTGCCGGTTCCCAGACCTTGAAACTTACGGTTCCCAACCTGGGAACCAGAGGTTACCATTGCAAGGAATTGCCGGTTCCCAGAAGTTAGAATTTATGTTTTCGAAGCTAAGCGGCTTTCATTGTAAGGAACTGGATTCCCAAAGTTTGAAACTCATGGCTCCAAACCTGAAAAAGCATACGTTACCAGTGGAAGGATCTGTTGATTCCAAAAAGATCAAAATCATGGTCCTTAATGTTGTTTTGTTTTGTTTACTGAGCCGGTAACAGAACCTTTTGTTTTGCTTAATGGACCGGTAGCGGAATGTTTGCGTTTGGCTGTTGGGCCGGCATAAAAATGTGTTTGCACGAAAAAGGTGCATGTCAAAATGATATGAAAGCAGTTTCTTTACAACTTTATGGTTTTGCTTAATGGACCGGTACAGAAGGCTTTGTTTTGCTTAATGGACCGGTACCGGAATGTGTGCGTTTGGTTCATGGCAAGGAACTGCCGGTTCCCAAAGGTTGGAACTCACTGTTGCCAACGTGGGAACCACAGGTTACCATTGCAAGGAACTGCCGGTTCCCAGAGGTTGGAACTCATGGTTCCCAACCTGGGAACCAGAGGTTACCATTGCAAGCAACTGCCGGTTACCAGAGGTTGGAACTCATGCTTCCCAACCTGGGAACCATAGGTTACCATTGCAAAGAACTTCCAGTTCCTAAAGGTTGGAACTGATGGTTCCCAACGTGGGAACCAAAGGTTACCATGGCAAGGAACTGCCGGTTCCCAGACCTTGAAACTTACGGTTCCCAACCTGGGAACCAGAGGTTACCATTGCAAGGAATTGCCGGTTCCCAGAAGTTAGAATTTATGTTTTCGAAGCTAAGCGGCTATCATTGTAAGGAACTGCGGGTTCCCAAAGCTTGAAACTCATGGTTCCAAACCTGAAAAAGCATACGTTACCAGTGGAAGGATCTGTTGATTGCAAAAAGTTAGAACTCATGGTTCTTAATGTTGTTTTGTTTTGTTTACTGAGCCGGTAACAGAACCTTTTGTTTTGCTTAATGGACCGGTAGCGGAATGTTTGCGTTTGGCTGTTGGGCCGGCATAAAAATGTTTTTGCACGAAAAAGGTGCATGTCAAAATGATATGAAAACAGTTTCTTTACAATTTTATGGTTTTGCTTAATGGACCGGTAAAGAACGCTTTGTTTTGCTTAATGGACCGGTACCAGAATGTTTGCGTTTGGTTCATGGCAAGGAACTGCCGGTTCCCAAAGGTTGGAACTCACGGTTGCCAACGTGGGAACCACAGGTTACCATTGCAAGGAACTGCCGATTCCCACAGGTTAGAAGTCATGGTTCCCAACCTGGGAACCAGAGGTTACCATTGCAAGCAACTGCCGGTTCCCAGAGGTTGGAACTCATGCTTCCCAACCTGGGAACCATAGGTTACCATTGCAAAGAACTTCCAATTCCTAAAGGTTGGAACTGATGGTTCCCAACGTGGGAACCAAAGGTTACCATGGCAAGGAACTGCCGGTTCACAGATCTTGAAACTTACGGTTCCCAACCTGGGAACCAGAGGTTGCCATTGCAAGGAATTGCCGGTTCCCAGAAGTTAGAATTTATGTTTTCGAAGCTAAGCGGCTTTCATTGTAAGGAACTGCGGGTTCCCAAAGCTTGAAACTCATGGTTCCAAGCCTGAAAAGTAACGTTACCAGCGGAAGGGTCTGTTGATTGCAAAAAGTTAGAACTCATGGTTCTTCATGTTGTTTTGTTTTGTTTACTGAGCCGGTAACAGAACCTTTTGTTTTGCTTGATGGACCGGTAGCGGAATGTTTGCGTTTGGCTGTTGGACCGGCATAAAAATGTTTTTGCACGAAAAAGGTGCATGTCAAAATGATATGAAAGCAGTTTCTTTACAACTTTATGGTTTTGCTTAATGGACCGGTACAGAACGCTTTGTTTTGCTTAATGGACCGGTACTGGAATGTTTGCGTTTGGTTCATGGCAAGGAACTGCCGGTTCCCAAAGGTTGGAACTCACGGTTGCCAATGTGGGAACCACAGGTTACCATTGCAAGGAACTGCCGGTTCCCAGAGGTTGGAACTCCTGGTTCCCAACCTGGGAACCATGGGTTACCATTGCAAGCAACTGCCGGTTACCAGAGGTTGGAACTCATGCTTCCCAACCTGGGAACCATAGGTTACCATTGCAAAGAACTTCCAGTTCCTAAAGGTTGGAACTGGCGGTTCCCAACGTGGGAGCCAAAGGTTACCATGGCAAGGAACTGCCGGTTCCCAGACCTTGAAACTTACGGTTCCCAACCTGGGAACCAGAGGTTACCATTGCAAGGAATTGCCGGTTCCCAGAAGTTAGAATTTATGTTTTCGAAGCTAAGCAACTATCATTGTAAGGAATTGCCGGTTGCGAAAGCTTGA